AACAACGACATTTGTTGGAAATAAGAACAATACAAGTCCAGGACTTGTACTGTTCTTATTCTCAATGCTCCACATTTAGCTTTGACAAACACCTTAACAAGCTGGTTTTAATTATGTTCTTCTACTCATCCGACGCCGCTTCGCATTTAAAACAAAATGGCTATTTCAGATGAAAATGTCAAATTTTGGACTTGTACTGTTCTTATTCTCACCGATTAATTTTTAAATGAATCGGAGAGAATAAAAAGCTTAGACTTGACAGGATTTTTTTTATTTGTTTGGAACCGATTTAAGACTATCGTGAACAAAAATCGAAAATAACCCTAATAAGGTCCACCCTAATATACATACATAGGTTTACATTGTCACTTGGTCCTTGACTTTGAATATTTAACAAACGAGAGTTTTTTATTAAAGTTTATTTCAGGATGACAGAAAGTTAAAATTAAAGTAAACATTTTGAATTAAATAATTATAAACGAATTAACTAAAAGGTTTTGTTTTTAGTTTTCTTTGCGTTCTGCGTGAGCTTCTCTATTTATAAATCAAAACTATTTTGTGCTCACTAAATGTCAACATGCCGTTTTAAATGAAAATTAAGAGACATCCGCAGTGAAATCGATTATAGATATAATTACAGTCTAAAACTATTTGAATGTAGACATGTATTATTTGATCTGTTATGCCATTTATAGGTTTATAATTTAGTGTATTATTCTATTTTTGGACCATTTATATTGTTTTTTAATTTAATCAATAGTTATATTAAAAAAATAGAACAGACATTTAAAGTCATTTAAAATCTAGAATACGATAAAAATAATTATTATTAATTAAGTATCTGAGCACAAATATATCAGATTTGTTAAACACGCTAATAATATTAGAAAAAATATTAAATAAAACTCTTATAAACATTTTAAATACTTTATTTTTCAATTACCTTAAGGTAAATAATAATAATAAATGTAAATAATAATTATAAATGTTAATATAAATAAAATTAGTTACAGACAACAAAAAATATGTAAAATATTCCGATCTTCTTGTCGCTAGCTGTAGGTACACAGAAAAAACACTAGCATAGCATGAATGCGTGAGCCATTAAACCAATGGGATCTTGTAATCCGTATTCCTGAATAACAGTTCCTATAATACCAATAGGAAGTTAGCACGTGGTTTATAATCATTTACTGTTTTTAAATTAACAACAAAAGTTATCGCTCCTAAATCTATTGATATTCATATTGATATTTATTTGTTAGAATGGTATAATGTTATTGCATTAAATACTAATTTGATTTATTTAATAACGTTACTATTGTATGTATACTATGTATACATTTAACGCAATAAATTCTTTGACATTTAGGCAAAATATTTCCCTATTTTGGTTTAATAGTAATTAATTGAGCAAATAACAATTTAGATTGCTTCAATTTTAATGCATTCAATGACAGCGCTGTTCTTGGTACTATGTTAGATTTTTTTTCTGTGTAATCATCCAGGTTTTCTGGGATAACATCCAAATGACTTAAAACAATTAATTTACTGGGGTTTTAACTTTTTCTATCTGTTAGGATAACCATAGGTATCCTTGTATCCAATACTGTAGTTTCGAAAGCAACACTCAATTTTCTCTTGTTCAAAAATGTTTTTAAAATAATCTTGGTGAAATCTGTTTTATTAGTAAATATTTTGTTGTTGTTTTATTGGCAAAATTAGACGCATTTATAAAAAAAATCTTTAAGAACTCATATGTGACGCGCTCCGAGAAAACAAACAAATGAAATTTTAGAGAGAGGAGCCTAGGCGTTTGTATAATAACGCTTGACTTTGTAAATTCATATAGCATTGTCAATTTTTGAGATAATTAAATCATTAATCTTATTATAGTTTTGTTTCTGTTTTTTTAGCCAACATAATTTGAAATTTCTTTCTAACATTTCGCTAGCTTCTTCAGAGGTGCTTCCATCTTCGGATGTAGACCAACAAGGTCGTTATCTGAGGTTATACTTAAGCTCATTTGTTTGAGGTATGCGACACTTTTTAATCCCTGCCCTTTGTCGAAGGATGGGAAGTGGGTTAAAGAAAATCTACTTTAGTTTAGGAAATGAATATAAAAAAAATCAATTAAGTTTATAGGGCGCCATATATTTTGTTTGTTTAAGTATTATGTACCTATGAGTAATATTAACCTATCTGGTGGTATCCATTTAATAAGGTTAACAATAATAAATCCACAAATTAAATTTTTAACAATAATAAAACCACAAATTAAATTTTGACTTAAATCAAATAAACTATAGTTTATAAACAAATAATAATGGAAATCAAGGACCACTAGGGTTGGTTGAGAAACTTTAACCAACGTTAATAAGTTATTAATTAATAATAACTATCTTAAAAATATTATATACAACCATATACTATGCTTATATTATACACCATAAATACTACAAATAAATGCAGTCTCACATAAGTATTCAAGGCTTAGAATGTCCTTAACTTTGTGCTCAGAATGCTTTAACAGAGACTCGGAGGCCCAGCAGCTTTCCAGCTGACGTGAATAAGGAGTCTCCAATCTCTTCGAATACTTAATTTTATAACCAATTTTTATGCGCTCAGCAAAGGTCACGTCCAATACTAGGATATATAGGAACTCCAATAATAAAGATCGTATCATACGTGGTATCGTATGGTACGAAAACACGGGAAAAATACCCAAAAGAAATAACAAAAAGATGTGAATTACCTTTACTCAAAAGAAATCGAAATATTCATCAATTGAATGGCATGGACCTCTTTGATTCCAGCAACGCACAAATCGCCAATTCGCAAATTGTCGCTTTATCGGGCTTCTATAGAAGTGATATATCACTGCTTTTCAACAAATCGCTATTACCAAACGCGGCTGATAATATAAGATTTCTAGGGCATCCCATACCGGCCTGCTATAGTATCCTGATGCGGATGTAAACAGTATTGCTTATTATTATAGTTGGTGGTCTTCACGAAAAGTGTGTTTTGCAACTGCCGAATTGCCCGTTGGTCCAAGCCTGCAGTTTCTCTGTTGTTATTTTATTCTTGTTTACATGAACCTTTTCATATTGCCTATGTATACCTGGTCACATTTGCATGATATATAATATACCCCAGAAGATGTTGAATCTTTTTTATCTTGTGTTTGGGGTTTGGGTTTGGGGTATATAAGGCTACCTACCTGGTTTTGGCATTTTTTTTTCAGTACCTTCGTAAATCCCTTGGTCTCAAGGCTTTATTAATTTCGGTTTCCTCGTATCCATTCGCTTTAAAAGCATCTTTAAGGTGGTTCGATAGTGCATGCAGGTACATATCCGTATGTGTGAGTTTCCGGTATACCGTGTGGATGAGCTTTCTGCCACATCTCTTTACTAAGACATCCAGAAAGGCGATATATTGGTCTCGTTCTGCCTCCATAGTGAATTGAATATGTTGATGCTAGGAGTTAAGATTATTTAAAATACGTTGAGGCTGTCTCTTTCATGCTTCCAAACGATAAAAGCTCATTCATATCCACTTAATACGCGTAACTTAACTTAACGTACGTGAGAGACGTAAGTTGAAATACATTGAAACCAATGCAGCTGTTTACATTCGTAGAAAACTTATCACACGTAACTTAACGTATCCAAAAGTTGGGTTCGGCTCAACTTAAGGGAATACGTTTCTTACGTGAGCCAATCACATGCCCAGTAAAACGATATAGCGCTATCTTGTTGTTCCACTTTTATAGATAGAGCCAATCACATGCCCTGTAAAACGATATAGCGCTATCTTGTTGTTTCACTTTTATAGATAGTCTACATCGATGTCTACATTGCGCGTGCTTGTATATTACGTTTTTTGTGTGTATTAAGTTAATGTAAACAGACAACTTAACAGACGTATGTTTCTTAAGTTAAGTTAAGTTAAGTTACGCATATTAAGTGAATGAGCTTTAAAGCTGTTGTCTACGTAGCGTAACCATACTGTCGGTTTTGTAGGGTGATGAATCGGCTTACTTTTCAAAATCTTTCATAAATCGGCTGTTACAGGACACATGTCTTTTAGAGACCCTCAGGTCAATACCTCAGTTGCATTTTGTTAATTATAAGCCAGCCACTAGCACTAGCGAAACACGGAAGAAAAACTAAAAACGAAACTATAATAAGATAATAAAAACTGGCCACAAAGCCCTTCCTACTTTCTTTAAACAAATCATTTTTGGAATTTTCGATAGTTTGTGTACAATTCTTCTTAAAACAATTATAATTCTATACAATTTATATTCTAATATAAATTGTGTTTTTTCTTAAAAAATATATGCGATATGTATCAAAAAATCTCCTTTAATAAAAAATAGTTTAGAAATACTTTAAATTTAGATATTATGTTATGTAGCAAAATAAGGCGCGCGGAGGACAGGTGCCATCCACCATTTCTAAACATTGTTTATATAAGTTATGGCTAAGGAAAATAGATACAAATGTTTTTAAAATAATTTTATGGTTAAATATGTGCACTTTTTTTAATGCAATATTTATTAAAAAAAAAACAAGGTAAAGCCTATGAGCGAAATTAAATTAGAAATTTAAAAACCTCATAAAAATTATTAAAAACTACTCTTTATAATTTTTGGGATATCAAAGGTTTTGCTTTGCACCGGTCCTTAATAAATATCAAAATAACAAAAAATATCTGCGTGGATAACAAGTCATCCGCGCGCCTTAATAAGGTTTAAAAATTACATTTTATTCTATTAAAAAAAAAATACTGATTTTATTATTCTCTTTTGTATTAATTAATTGATTTAAGGCGTGAAAATTACTGCTAAAAATTGTGTAAAACTTAAATAATTGTTCAGTTCAGCGTATTATGTCAATGATTGTCTAGTATACGTGAGGTTTTCACGATGTGGTATTAAAATAGCCCATCTGAACAACCGCTAAAAATATATGTAGAATTTGCCAGTAATCAACGCACTGCGGACCAAGACCATCACGATCGGCCGGTTTACATAATAAAGGAAAAGTGCGTGAAATATTCGAAAAACCGACGAAAGTGCGTAATTTTTGGTGTTCAAGTTTCTTTTTGTATCTATTAAGTGTAGTTTCGTATAGTAGTTGTTCGTGTCGTAACAGTGTAAGAATTGGTCGATTATTACGTTTAATTTATTTTACTACACTAAAGCAACTTACTGCTTATAAAATTTTATAAATTAAATTTAATTATATTTCCATGAACTAAAATATTTTTACAAAAATAATGTTTAGCATACAACTATAATACAAGCGTATTTATATTATCAACCATAAACAAATATAAATAGTAAAAAACAGGAGCGCACATAAAGGGGGCAGATATTGGGCAAGGTGTTAATTAATTAGGGTATTGTATTACAATAAAGGCTATAAAAGTATATTTAAATTTAAATAGTGTGGCATTATTTGTCTGTTCACCCCTGTAAATAATAATATTAAATACCTAAATAATGTATATTTTTATCCAATGCCAAAATAATGCAGTCTATAGTAAATTTTTTCTCCAAATATATCTTAGCAACGTTTTATTAAATAATAATAAAAAATTACAATTCAAATTATTTTTATTTTATTAGTTTTTATTATTATATTCGCCACTGCAAAATAATGAAAGGAATATATTCCTTATAATTATATTCATTATATTGACTAGCTCAATGTCAATCAAACCTAAACAGGACTTAAATTAATAAAATATCTGTAAGGGGACATCCATTAATTACTTGAGGTATTTTTGGACCCCGTTGGTGTCCCTCACGTGAGATTCTAGACATAAAACTTGTTTTGAGGACAAAATGATAAACCCCAAAAAAGTAAAAAAAAAATATTAATTTAATTTAATTATTAATTTTTTTGAACAAATTTTAATTATAATACATATTCTTTAAACTTAAAAGTTTAGATTTTAAATGACCCCCTCTCCCTTGAAATAATATTTGGTGAGATTTTGCTAGACTCCTCCCCCCATTTTTATTAGATGCCCCCTAACTTTATAACCTGTCACACCCAACATCCAGAGTCAAAATTTAGATCGTAATTTAAAACTAATAAGTGTGAACAATTTCCGTCTTGAACGGTTTTATTTTCGCCTAAAGATATCCAACTATTAACCCAAAACATGGCAGATAAGTCCATTTTCCCGATTTTTCGGGGAATTTGAACCAAATTATGACCGTTTACAACCTACAGTCCAAAAAAGCCCATGCCACTGCGCATGTCGATTAATAAAAGCGCGACAATATTTGAATTTAAATATATTGTAGACATTTTATTTATATATTTTTTTAATTGGTTAAACAAATATTAAAAATTTTCCCCAACACCAAAACAAATCCCAAAGTGCTTAAAGTACTTTTCGCCAACGAGGCATCTTTAGAAGCGAAGTGTAACTAAATCCCAAGATTTACATCTGAAGATTTACATTGTTGGCTAAAAGTACTTTAAGCACTTTGTGTTTTTAAAAAAGAATTGAACCTACACCTCACCAAAGTTTTTTGTTTTGAGTGCGTTCCACCAAATCCCGACAGACAGCTGTTTCGACCTATATTGAGTCTCATCAGTGTCGGGCAACTTGGTGTAGTGGAACACACCCAAAACAAAAAAATCTCTTAGCTTTTATATATTTGGTGTTGGGGAATATTTCCAATAGTTGTTTAACATATCATCAAAGTTGTCCTTTTTCAAGTATCAGCATGGTATACAAATAATTAAAATTTACATAATGAATAGACGAATTCTTTACATTAATTATTTGCAGTAAAATTAAAAACTGAAATTAATGATTGGTAAAATTTTATTTTTGAAATAAAATGATTTATTTGGTTTATAATCCTACCAAAAATTTTATAAAATGTTTAAATCGGTTCAAATTAAGATTGATTCGGTTGTTCTAGTGCTAGAGTTAACAGGCTAGACAGGTTTTAAATCAGTTTTTGTAGGTCAAAGTAGGTTTAAATTACGATCTAAATTTTGACTCTGGATGTATACAAATTATTAACATACTCTTAATATTTATATTAATATAAATATGTGTACAGTATATGTATATTAGTAGTGTCGATCCTGGGATCCTGAAATCCCGGGATCTCGTAAAAAAACTCATCCTTAAAATCCCTGGATAAAAAGTCTCAATTCCGGAATCCCGGGTAACAACAATAAAATATACCTTTTAATGGCATTACCTAATTGTTATACAAGTAGAAAATAGTTCAACTATTATAGTTGTTACACTGCTAAAAATTAGACAGTGTTTTTTTAACTAATCCATACATTCAAAATGCAAAAAATGTTTCCAAAATTCTAGTTTCACGGGTGGCTACGACGAATTCTAATAAAAATGAAAAGGCCGACCGCCAACATTAATATCAATTGGAAAAACTTCTTAGACAAAAAAGAAAATAGCGATGACGATGAGGTTTCCATCGCGGAGATTATACAAGCTGAAGTTTTGCAGCCTTAATTGGAACTCACCAACGCCCGATTGATAAAAGAAATTATTTGTTAATGGGGGTATACAAGGGTACAATCCACAACTTGCCTACGAATTCTAAAAACCATTTCTCCAACTAGTGTAAAGACCGAAAGATGTTTGTTCGTTAATTTTTAAATTGGTTTTATATTGAATTATATTTTTTCGGGACTGATCCCAGAGCCCGAGATTAGTTAATTTTATTCCAAAAGTCCCTGGATTGAGAAAATGGATCAGGATTGACACCCCTAATATATAATTTATATGTAGGTTTATTATACAGCTTTTACAGTTGTGAATGACACCTGTATTATTGTACAATAATTATTATTATTAAAGAAACTTGGATTAAATTGTTTATCTACTCCTATTGCATAATATTGTTTTTTTTTTCGTGAATAAATAAATATTATAAATTCCCTGCCTAACAACGTTTTTAGGCATTAGTGATCGAGCGATTCACTGAGATTTAAACCAATCAGGTTTTAAATTGGAAGAAGGCAACTTTAATAACATTTAAAATTGATAAAAAGTGAGCATAACCATTTGACAGATGTCAGATTTTATTTATTTATATTTAAAAATCATTTAATTATCAAGGTATTGAAGTAGATAAAGTAAAGTATTACACTCAAGATTATGCACAATATTCACTCGGATGATTTAAGTCTCTCGTCTAGCGACTCCAGACACAAACCTCATATGTGACGCGTATAATATACTACTTGTTTATAAACTTTATACATGTGGGTAGGTATAAGTATTTTTTTCAATAAACAACAAATAAGATAACGGTATATATATAATATATTATATATTATATAATACAATTTTTAATGTAGCGCCGGCGCATTTTAAATATTTTGTTCTTCTTTTGCCATTTATTTTATAAAAACTTTAATTGCTCTTAAACTGCTAGGTATTATAATTATAAATGTAAAAATAAGTTTTTTATCTATAGATATTACTGCATAAATTAGACTTGAATAAATATATAAGTCATCTTGATTAAAGAAAAAAATTGTTTTTATAAGAAACATACATGTATTGTTTGAACAAAACTAATTTTTTAATATTTTTGTATTATTTTGTTCTTAAATATGAAGCGATTGTATAATTAAGAGGGTGTATAACTTAAAAAAGTGGTTCTAGCAGTGTTGCCAACATGATATGAAGTAGTTCTACCAAAAGCCTAAAAAAAATCCACCAGAAACCACCAGAAATTAGAAATTAGAAATAGGGAAAAGCGGGGGAGGGGGGGCTTGTAAATTTTGATAAACTATTACAGCACAATTTATTTAAAAATAAAATAAATATAACTTCTATAAATAATAATAAATATTACTATATATTTAAAAATAATCAGATTAAGTCAAAAGCACCCATGTTTAAACTTTATAGGGAGTCTAAAAATCTAGTGACTTTAGTTTTTCTAATTCATATTCTTACACTTTTGACAATTAAATTTTAAAAAATCGTTATATTGAAAAACAACTAATTTATACTAAATCTACTAGAAAATCCACCATGGTGGATTTTTTTATTTTTTCCCACCAGACGGATATGTTTATCCACCAGATCTAGTAGAAAATCTACTGAGTTGGCAACACTGGGTTCTAGTACATCTAGTCTGTTATCTCAATACCACGATGGATTTCTATAGAGTATACTCAATTTAATTTGGCATGTTGTTTTGTTACGTATAGTAACTTTTCTTTTAATTCCTTTCTTTTAAAGCGATTTAAATTAGATACGCCTTCATGTAAATCTGTAAAATTGTATTCAAATTATTTTATCCGTTTTTCATAATATTAAAATAATTATTTTTTGTATAAAACAAGAACAAAACATTTTTTGTACGTGAACTAAAAATGTCTGGTGCGTCAAAACAGGTCAGATTAAACTGTGCATTTCACCACACAGACACACGATAATTAATTACCGATAAATTAATTATTGTAATTTTTAAATTTTTTGTAGGGTGTTCCATTTTTTTATTAATTCCTTAAATAACTCCTGTAAAGTTATTAAAGTAAAATTTTGTTTATAGGGGTACTTTTTTAAGCTGATTTTAAAAATGTCAGAATTTTTGTGTCCTTTATTGTTTTTGCATAATCGTTGCATTAGCTAAAAAATAATAATTTTTCTTTCGACACGTTTAATAAATTTTTATATGTTGTAAAGACATTAATTGTTAGCACTCTTTTTAAATTTTAACATAGAATAGAAATATATACATATATAAGTAGACCATAAGTAGGTCATAAATTGTATGCTAAAACCAAATTGTAATAAACTCATAATCCAGTAAATAAAAAATAAAATGTTTGGGTCGTAAAATTAAAAATCAAAGTATTTTTAATCCTGCATAAAAATTATGTTAGAAATGGTTTGTAGGATTTGCCAAAGTATACTCAAGAGCAACGTTTATGTTAATTTTATTTTTAAAATTCTATTCTTAAAAATGTAATAATATCTTTATTAAAAGCAAATATTTAAATACGTATAAAAACGATAAGAACTTTCAGAATACTTTTTAATTGATAAATTTGAGATTTCTTTAAAAATTTATAAATGTTTTAAAAAAGTGCTATTTATAAATCAATTTATTTTTAAATACCAATTTTCAAATGATAAAGTGGTTTTTATTTATATATAAATATAAAATATATTGAATATATTTGTTTTATACAAATTATAAAAATATTATAAAAATTTCGGTTTATGACAGGTAATGTTTATTTGTTTCTAAAAATTCAGAAATAAGATAATCAATAGGGTGTGTCATTTTTGAGCAACTTTTTTTTTTCAACTAAAAAACAGGCTAAAAACTTTCAGGAAGGTGAAAAAAGAAGCCCCTATAAATTTGAGCTCTTAATAATAACATTAAGTGGTGCCTGTTCCTAACTTTCCATTTTCCATTTAAATAACATGGAAATTTTTTTTTTCATTTTATTTTATTTACTATCAATAAAAGTTATTTGTGTTCAATAAATTTGTTCAATAATTATAATAGATTAAATAAAACAATGAATTTGTTATATTATTGAATTTTTAATCTTTCTTTATTTTTTATAATTTCAAAGTCGATAATTCTGATAAAAGATTGTATCGGCTCAGTCGGTATATTACCGTTCGGATTACACAGGGACTAGAGGCACGCTAACGTGCCGCGATTCAAAATGTTAAAAACTTTAAGTTTGAATACCTTCAGAACGGCTCACTCTATGAAAAAATATATTGAAACTTTTTTGTAGAGCGTTCAATTTCCTACCAAAATAATTTTTTAGTTCGTTTTTACAATGCTCAAATGTCAAGCTACAAAAATAAGAAAAAAAAAAAATTTCCATGTTATTTAAATGGAAAATGGAAAGTTAGGAACAGGCACCACTTAAAGTTAATATTAAGAGCTCAAATTTTTAGAGGATCCTTTTTTCAGCTTCCTGAAAGTTTTTAGTATGTTTTTTAGTTGAAAAAAAAAGTTGCTTAAAAATGACACACCCTAATAATCACACAATAATTTTATTACACCCAACTAACAAAAATAACAACTTTATGTTAAAAATATTTTTAATTTAATAATAATAATAATAATCGTCCAATTTTTTACAGATTTATTTTATATTTCGTGTTAATACGGTGAATAATTTTGTGTATACATAAATTAATTTAAGTGGATAGTGTAACATAAAACTATGTCTCAATCAATGAAAAAAAGGTTTCCTTCTTTAACCAGTATTCAAGACTCAATGGAGGTAAGCATTAAAAAACAAATAAATTAAAGTGTAAAGAGTACAATAATGTTAACCTTATATGTCAAATTTTTGTGGGGCATTATAGCAGCATTTATTTAAGAGGAGATAATAGTTATACACGGTGACGCCCTTCTATCTAAAGATTTCAGTCGCCCAGTCACAGGCGCTGTGTGGTAGTTAAACTACGATGTGCATTAATAAAACGCAACGATTTATTATTAGGTTAAATTACTTTTAAAAATTATTAAGATACTTTAAATGTAACCCAGTCAATTTTAATAGTAAATCATTATTTGTTTTGCATTTACTAACGAAAAGGCGGTTTCCTATAAAAACCTTTAAACATCAAACAATTATCCTGAAATAAACTAAACATTATGTATGTTATTAAGTTTTATATTTTTATTTTGGCTTTAAAATAATTGTTTTATATACACAAAAAAGCGAAAAAGCATGATTCTCAATTTTTCTGCAACAAGGACCTAGCTAAAAAAAAGGGTTTTTGATAAATAAACACAATACAGATTAGGTTTTGTACAAAAATTGTTTTTAAATTTAATTTAAGTTCTGCAATATAAGCTGTGTATTACACAGTGTGTAATCTACTTAAAAAAATGTACCTACAGGTTTAAGCGTTGATATATTTTTTTTAATTTAACTAATCAAAAACTCGAACTTTTTGTTAACTATCCTAGGCCTGTATAGTTAATTTACTTACCTATTCATATGAATAGACTAATATTTAAATTTAAATTTTATAAAAAAACTAATAATAAAACAAAATAATTTTTTCTTTTAGTAAAGTAAATAAAATATAATTATTTTTAAGTAGAAAGATTAATACCAATCCAATAAAATATCGAGTAAACGTAACATTTAAAATTTTGGTTTATATTTGTACGCCTAACAGAAAACATTGCTGGCTTTTAAAATTTGTTTAGTGCAATCTGGCTAATGTCCAAAATCTTTCAAAACAAATACAGTCATATCTAATTAAAAATGATTTTTTTTTAAGTTGGTGCAACATTTAATTATAAATAGGTCAAATTTGTGATATTTAATTAATGTATTTTTTTTATTTATAACCATCTATATGACAAGGGTGAAAAACCTAATTTAAAAATGTGTGACTTCTTTTATCAAATATCACAATATTGCGTGACGATTAGAAATTATTTTTCAATATTCTCACTGAGAAAGGCCGTAGCCAAGGGGGGGATAATCCCCCCCGAAATTTAAGAAAATTAAATCTCAAGTTAATAATATATTTGCAGCAAAGAAAACCACTAGACTAAAGCCTCATTCAGAACCTCGTAATTAGTGGTTTCAATTATACTTATAATTAACACAAAACGATCATTCACAATGCGCAAAATTAACATCTAAAATTAAGGGAATTTGCTAAAAGATTGTCCACTTTTCTTAACCTGACGTAGGTAAACAATATTAATTATATTAAAATAATATTTTTTACAACCATTACAATAATATTTATATAACCTTATCTTCACTGGCAAATCTTCAAACTTTTTGCTTTTGACATAAAATATCCACGCACATGCTTTCAAATTATAATTAGTTGTAAAAGTTAGAAGTTTGCAAACTTTTTCCATTAATTGAAAACTACTACCACTAATTTTTTGGTTGTGAACAACACTGTGTATATTCATAAGACAAACTTTTACGTTAATTGAAACCACTAATTTATTCCACTAATTACGAGGTTCTGAATGAGGCTTAAATTTGCACCTGTATATATATTGTATTCTGAATCTCTATTTTGATGCACCCGTTTTTGTTTATCAATAGCCCCCCCGAAACTATTTTCTGGCTACGGCCAAAAATTAAAATTAGCCGTATTATTACTTTTTTCTACTCCCACCTTTAAAACGCCCTTTATCGTACATGTTTCCACGACACTAAGTGACCTTTTAAATACACATTGACAAGTTGTAGCTTTACGGCGCTTTAGTCACGGGCTGAAGTTGGCAACAGGTTTTTAGTCACGGGCTGAAGTTAGTTTTAAGTTAGTTGACAGTTGTCAAATGTCATACAATCGTTAAAATAAAGTGCCTTTCTTGTAAAATAATACTAAATGTGAAAATTATTTTATTACCTTAATAAAAAATACAAAAGTATTAAATAGTTTCTCAACGCCAATATTTGAAAAGTTTATATGAACATTGTACGCCGGCAGTAATCTATAACTTAAATTCGGGCACGAACTCCACTGTAAAGTGCTCATAAAACATTTTCTTTACTTTCACTGTGAAAAACTGTCAATTTTCAAGAAATACATTTATAATCTGTGTTTATAAAATTTAAAAATTTGACATTTGACGGTGACACACAGATTCCCCTATTGTTTCAGAGATGGCGCTCTATACAAATTTTTGATTTAAATCATTTTAAGATAATAATAAGTATTTGTCGTAAAAAAAGTATAGTATGCACCTCGTTTATAAACTTTTCTATACACTCATTAATTTAAGCACTCGCTCGCAAGCTCGGTCGTGCCTTAATTAAATTCGTGTTTATTATTGGCGTTTATCAAACTTGATACATAATATACTTTTATCCACTTATTGACGAGCTGTGACTTTATGGCGTTTTAGTCACGATCTGAAGTTAAATTTATTATAAATTTTGAAAAAGTAAGGTTGACAGATGTCAATTTTTTAAGAAATATAATATAAATTAATAACTCGTCTTAGATTTTCGCAAGGAATCGACCTCTTTTGTTTTGTCCGGTAATTTTTGAACACCCTGTCGATCTACACTAACTAACCAACCAAGTTGGGTTGATTGGTTGATTGAGTTGATGATTTATAACCTAATTTAACCTTATTTTCTTATTGAAAAAAAAAACTTTGCCTGTACAGTGCAACAAATTTTGGACTTTTGCAACTTCCAATTGTTGTATGTTAACCAATGTAAAGCCTTTTTATACATATGTAGATGCGAATTGCGACTATTTTGTCATAAGGCAATATTTGCCATATTTATGGTGGGATTAACCAAACATTTTCTATTAGTTGTAATATGTTAAATGGTGTTTGTTTTGTAGCTAGTATATTGCTACGATTATTGCGTATGCCTCAAGCCAAATTCTTGTTTGCATAATATTTCATGTTACTAGTACCATGATAATATTTAATCTCTCTTAAAATTCAAAACTTTCGATTTCGCAGATAAAAAAAAAATTTCCGCCAAATCAAACCAATAAGAACGTTATTTGCAATTCCTAATTCGCATTTCACATCTATATAACACAGTTAAAACTAATGATATTTCACGTAGTTTTTGTGACGGTAACAAAGGAAAACTTGAGCCCGTAATCCATTTGGACCAATCCTAGACAGAGAAAAGTAATCTCTTAATTTTACTATATTTGGCTTGGCTCAAATAAATTATTAATTTCGATATCTACAAAAAGATATTTATTTAGTGGAAAACTTTGGTTTATTTGACTTTTTAAACTGATATTTGGCTAATACAAGTAAATATCTAGTTGATTTTTTATCTCAGGTTTAGTAGAAGCTTTCTTAAAGAAACAAAACCTACATCCAAACAATTTAATTAATTGCTCTAAATAAATATTTCTTTACAATTAATCACAACAATAAGTTGTTTTCAAGAAACTTATGATTTACAACCAAATAATAGTATTTTCTTATTGTAAACAACAAGTTACTACGAATAAAAAAATTTTACTTCATACAAGAAAACCTGTTTCAAATAAATGCATTTTCTTAAATCAAGAGATTACTTTTCTCTTTGTACTAATTTAAAAAATTTAAAAACATCCTTTTATAAAAGTTTTCTTAAAATATAAAAAAATATTTACCTAATGAGATATGGGTACTAAAATATTAAAATAAAAACTAAAAAATAATGTACATCGGTAACAGGCGCTTATACCTATAGTCGAGCTCAGTGTTCGCTACAGATCTGAGCTATGCTTTTTCCACCGTGTTATTACCAAATGAAATTGGCACTAGTTAAACCTTACCTAAGACATGTCTGTTTCGTTTTATATTATTTAAAAATCCTTATGGTAATGCTTTTTTTAAATGAAATCTTTTATAACATTTGTGGTAAATTTTGTGAATAAACTAACGAATTAGTTAATTAAAAATGGTTCAGCTGCAGTATTGGTTATACAACATAGTAAATGTATGCAAAAATACCAGAATGTTTTTTATTTGAAAAATAGGGTTTAGATTATCTATTAAGATCTATATAATCTTAACTTATTATTAATATTTCAATATATTGACCCAACATAAACGTCATTGAATATATTCATAACTCATTATAATGAGTTATGGTTAGGTTTTAAAAAGTATGTATAGGTCCCTTTTATTATTCTATTTTTACAGATAATTTATTTACTCTTAACTATTTGTAGATGACAATTATTTGGGTAGGTATTTTTTTCTCAGAATATTTTCACATAAGAAGAAAGTAAAGTAACATCAAATTTCAAAAATAAACACATTTAACATTTGGAGGTATTTTGAATATTTTAATTAAAAAACTATACTCCACATCCATTCCGACAAAATATGTAAATATCATTGAGAACCTAGATTAAGGTAAAATTTAGAACAATTAATTAACCTTTTAATAAACGAAGCATTTCAACGTATAATACATTTTGTGTCAAATTATTTATAAGTGACGTCATAACCTTGGCTGCAGTTGAATAGAAAAAAATATTTGTGTATATTTTTTTTTAACTATTTTTTGTGGCCTTGGAAATACCAATCCTGTGATTTTCTATAAGTACCTAGATATTTCGCTCATGCACAAAAAAGTAACACAACTAAAAACACCTCGTCTGAAATAAATATGCAAAACACGTCTAGTTTAAACTATAAATAAATTTATAAATAAATTTATGATACAACTTTTTTCAGACAAAGTGAAATGACCGTCAGAGGGTAAAGTGATTATGAAATAACTTTCTAGAATATATTTAGGACCTAAATTTTAAA